AAACACCTAAGAACTAGGTATAAACTGTGTCATAACTTCAGTTGTCGTCAAACATGAAATCTTGAAATACTTGTATGGAAACTTCCTTTGGACTTATTGCATTTGGCAATTAAAAGTATACAACAACGAATTTTCTTGATCTCAAACCCTTCTGAGGAAGATTATCATTAACTTATCATTTTCTCAGAAAAGAAATTTACATCTCGAATGTTAAGGACTAAACCAAAACCCACGAGCAGAACCACAAAACATAGCCATGCCTGGTTTGAAAATTTCATTCGATTTTGTTTGCTCAACACAACAGCGGTAAAAATCAGAGGGAGGCAACGACAAGAAAGTTAGCCGCTTATTAACAACTGTAATTGCACTACGCAAATAATTGATGATAAAATGTTTCTGAGAAATGGTTTCAACTTCTCGGTAATGAATTTACAACGACTGTTCATTTAGGCCTTGTAATCTGACTCATATTTCAGCTTATTGAGAAGATCGTAACTTGATTTTATCGTCTTTGTATTCGAACAGAAGAACAGCATGACGCAGGATTTTCGCCATATAAAAGTACCTAAAGTCTTTTACGGTTCAGAATTTAGACAGAGTGATAAAAAAGTTTATGCTTTCGCCAAAAGTTAATAGTTCGTGATTGCTTCCATTCCGCTTACCAGTGAAAGTATTCTTGCCATAGACGATTTTAATTTATAGCAATAGAAGGACCTGTAATTTCATGGAAATCACTACCTGTTGATCTCACATTCAAGCCTCATCTTATGCTTTCTCCCTAATCCTGTCGACTAATGGGAATATAGTTCAGATTACTTAGCGTTAGCGAGACTTCTGCTGTTTTTATCGATGCCAGTGTTTTTACCTGGATGATTGACTTAAATTTATTAAATGCATACATTACATTAACTACCTGCTTTTTAGTTATAAATTGAAATGTTATATTTTTAAATTGGATCTGTATATAAATGATGCATTTTATTGGAGACTAAGGTGTCTCACGACACCTATTACGGTAACTTAAATATGTATAGATTTCTGCTTAGTGCAATTAAAATTGAGTCCAGGCGCACAAAAGTCCGCAGTAGGGCAAGGAGAAACGAAATGTTTCTTTCTGTGTACAATGTTTCTTGACTGTATGCTCCAACATTAAAGAGTGAAGCTACGAGAGCGGCAGAAGTTGATTAGATATGCGGAAACTTACACATTCATGGATAATGTCAAATTGCTAGCACACAACTTTTAAGATATACAAGAACTGAATTTAAAAGTTTTTCATGGCTTAGAAATGGCAGCGTTATAGAAAGCAGGAAAGAGAAAACTAGAAGTGACTGTATTAGTGAGCAATATTAACTGCTGAGTGATATGATCTTGTGTCGAATACTGAGCTAAAATGAAGATTAGAATATCGAACTAAATTGATCGACTGTTTGCGCACAAGACGTTCAAGTTGATGGCGTCACTGTCATTAGAAGTAAGTAGTGAACGTGAAGCCTGATGGCAGGCGGTTGTCAGGAAGTTCTCATTTTTTTCTTATTATTTTAGCAAGATGAGAAGAGCTATTTATAACTAACATGATATCGAAAGGGTTGACGAGTGATCAAGGAAACAAGTGAAAAACTATAGCGAATAAAACTCGAAATATAACTGTGATAAAAAACAGCCCATCTACTAGATGATAGTCACGGAAGCATAACGTGGCTTTTCATTTGTTGAGAGCTTTTCTAGATCTTAACCTTGAACAAATTGCAGAGCTGTCACGTTGGGCGTCCAAAATTTGTTGCTAGGGGACGGATACAAAATATTATCAGAACAATAACATCCGCACACGAGGTCGCAACGTTAAATCGCGCTGGCTGGAGACCAATCTTTTTTCATTTTGATCTCCCATGACCACTTCTTCTTTCAGGTCGCGGAGGAAGACGCGCAGCACAATGCTTCCAGTGTTCTCTTTCCTGTGCCAGAGTCTGGGTTTCGGCAGAAGACAGTCAGAATTAATAGCAGACTCCTTCGATAAAATTGTCCCAAGATTAATCATGACGTATCGTTGGTCTTCTGCCGGTCGGCTAGCATTGTAGAACAGCTACGAATTTTCTAAATTTGACAGCAGGCATTCGCTACGTAATAAGTGGCTTCTTCAGCATTTTCGATCAAATTCTCTGGCAGTTAATTAACCATATCATCCAGTGCTGTCGTTACACTGTCTGCTAATAAAGGGTCAGTCGATTCACTGCTAATTAGGTAACCAGCCTAAACATCTAATAGTTATTCTATCGTTATGAACTAAGGATACGCTGAGCGGTGCTTGATCTCCGGCAAAGGAATCAAATCAAATATTTATGACGTTAGTTGTCGTCTGTTGCGTGAGCAAGTTGAAAGGTTAACTTTGCCAGTGATCTCTGATAGTTCTACAATAACAGACATCGAACTGTCAGAATAAACTGAGAAGCATCGGGAGGGGGACGATAAATTAGGGGCACCTAAATGAAGGTATTTAAAAACAACTGATCTCAAACTGTCAGACGATTCACTACTCGCCAATGAAAGACCCTGAACTTTACTAACTCTGTATGAGCACACTTATGGTACTTAATACATTTGACGCTCTCACCGATACTTGTGGGAGAAGTGGTCAAAAACGTCGATCGATATGCAAATTTCTGCTCTTCGCGGACACCTTGCGCGGCGGCCATCTTGTCTCCCATGTTATCAGGTCGCTTTGATGGTAATCGCGGTATCGTGTGAGGGCAAAATTTGAAGTTTGGACTACGTCCGGCCAGTAACCTCTGTTGGAGATGACCACTAATGGACCAGTGCCCATCGTTACCGGGAACCGAAGCCGCGACCCGATGGAAGTGCACCTCCTGAAATGCGACCTGGTTCGTGTGCCAGTTTCCCGAGACGACGACAGTTTGTTTCGCGGCGTTTGTCGACAGGTGAGAAGCCCACAACTCTTCGGTTCGCTGAGCGACTAGATGTCCCCCTCCTCACCAATTGTGTAATATTATAATTTTGTGTCACTATTATGTCACCTTTGCGAAAAACTTCTCAAAATTTACTAAGGTTTGATTAACATTATACAACAGTGCTCTTTGTATATTTTATGATGATCTACAGAAGTGAGGGATACTCTGGCCGCAAATTCGGAAGAAGGACAAGGAGCCACCATCATGTAATTCGCTATGAATGTTTTTACTGTTTGTTTTTAGAGGAATTGAAAATTTATAATGATTTTTTCATTAATATCCCCATGTCTAACTGCTCTGCAGCGTACGATTTTGTCGATGTACTCTTGTTCTGTAGCGATGTGAAACACTGAACTTGAATTTCGAAGATATCCTGACATCATTTAATTTACTTTCTGGAAGAAGAATTTCGACTTATGGATTACAATAGACAAAACACCCAGTACTGCTTGATGAATGATATTAACAAATGAAGGGAAAATAGCATTTTTCCAATTTAGATGTTCAGCATCTGTTTATTATTATTAGGAAAGATGTTCATCAGCGCTATTTACTCATATAATCACATCTCTGAACTCCGCGTACCGTTTGTCTTTCATCAATTGCCTTATGCCGATTGTCAGAGAGTTGAAAATTGTCGTGGAGCCTGAAGGATAGAAATTTCAGCCACCGGATGTTCGTGCGATGGCCGCGTCGTCTGGACCCCTGTTGCGCGTTGGCATGGATGTCATCCGAATGCGACGCTTTTTCGGTCGCTCCACCATTTCCACCCTTCCACGCGCAATCTTACATCAAGCATGGTATTTCTTCACGCACTCAGTGAATAGTGCAGCGACAAATGCACCCAT